CTGATAGAGATAATAACAATTCAAACCATTAAGTAATAATATTCTTTGAAGATGGGAAGAAGAAGGTTGCACTTTTTTGCAACATCCCATGGTAAGGGTGTAGTAGACTAGTAGATGGGATTGGTGGGACTATCAAGAGGAGTGTATGGAATTACGTTAAAGCTAATGATAATTGTGTTGTCAGTACAGCTAGCCAATTTGCAACAGTAGAAGTTGAAAGAAACCCAAACATAACAATAGCTTTTATTCCCAAAGAATAAGTAGACAGTTCTTTAACTGAAGTTGAACAGTTGTGGTATTCAGCAGTGCCAGTGCCAGATACTCATTCTGTGCACTGTGTAACGGTCACTGATCAGCATTACATAATAGTTAGGGAGACTAGTACAGACCTTGTTATGAGAAATGTGAGGATTTTAAAAGGACTTGCTTTTGACTCTGATATAGGCTAAGTGACGAAAATGAAGAGGTAGAAGAAGAACCAGTTCCTACTCTGCAAATTAGTGATATCCAGCCTTTTGACTGGGTTGGATGGTCAAGTATGAAGATGTATTCTACCCAGGTGAAGTCAAACAAGTGAAGCATGATGAAAATGAAGTAGAAGTAAAAGTAATGCATCTTTCAAAGACTGGCAAATATTACTACTGGCCCAAAGATGAAGACTGCATTTCTTACCTACCTTGAAAGATGTCACAAACAAAGAAAATTGGACCACCAATTCCTAGCGGAGGAACTAGGGAGCAGTATAAATTCAATGATTGTATTAAGTAGGCCCATATAAGTTTCTTTGGCCATATGTATCTTTAAAATGTCCATCACATGTTAATTTAGCCAATAAAAATCACATTTGTAGTTTCTATCCCTGTATTTTACTTTCTAGCTCCCCCAAATCATTTCTTAAGTCAGACAGTTTACGTCCAACAACAAAAATTTTACATCCGACACCAAAGTTTATATTTTATTAATAAAAAACCAGATCTTCAATCAATAAAAAATTTTCATGTTTTCAAAGCTTATCTATTAGTACCTACCACTACAATTTTTATTGCAAGTCTAAGTGAAAAGAATTCATACATTTTTAACACATCTTAATTTAAGTCACAGCGGTTGATTCTCAGCGGTTTACGTCCGACACCAGAGATACTTATTTTATTATTAATTAGTAATTAATATTTAAAAGCACTTTTATAGCCTATATCAAAATGTTCCTTATTGATAGCTCTATCAATTGAAGTACAGATGAGTCCCGCAAACTCGGCGTAATGTGGACTGGAAGGGTGCCGAGTTTGTGAAATGCCGGGTTATCGGGAACTAGGGTTAAAAATCAGAACAATTTAACTTTTTAACCACCTTTTTTTATTTATATTTATATTGTCAGTATTAAGTCATCAGATATAGTACAACAAATCCTTAGTACCATTTGCGAATAATTTGACTAAGCTGACTTGAATCCAGCTTAACTCGGACTCAAAAAATCACTAATTTTCTGAGCCAGGTGATGGCCGAGTTATCCAGACTGCCGGGCTATCGAGTGCCGAGTTTGCGGGACTCTACTGTAGTTGAAATTTGAAATATTACCGTAAATGCTAACTGCAATAATTTAGGAAAGAAAATAAAAAAAACCTGTATGAATTTTACGTCCGACACCATGGAATTGCCCTCATATCTATTGAAACTATCAAATTTAAAATATTGTTTAATAATCGATATATTTACCAGCTATATCAGTTATAAAATTAAACTATCATAACCTAACCTAACCAACCAAACTTGCTGATAGTGAAAACATCGAATGAAGGTTTACTAATAATCGGTATTATCATAGCTAAGTTAAGAAACTGTAGGTAGGTACCCAACTACTTTTTACTACGTGTCAATAACTTAATACTAACCTAACCTAGCATAACCAGGGTTTACCCAAAATCGGTCATTTTGGCACATTGTTAACCTAAGCATGGGTTAGGTTGGGTTAGGTTAGGTTAAGTAAGTTTATTATATATTTAATAATTTGGTTTACCCAAAAATGGGGTAATTTTTTGTACTTTACTATTTTTTACGATTTTCAAACCTGGTTTCCTGGGTGAAAACGGCATTTGCCAAAAAAGTGTTTAAAATGGACTAATAATAAAAAAAACCCACCCTAAGTTAAAAAGAAAATTATCAAGCCCCAAAAATCACTGATCTCTAGCATTTTTCTTGATTTTCAAACGAACGTGATTTTCAGGCTGAAATAGGTGTTTCCCCCAAAAGTGCCAATGGTAAAAAGTGCTTAAAATAGTCTAATTTAGGTAGATAAGGCAAAAAAATGTCAATATAACATAAGTAGTATAAGTTCAGTTTTACCCATTAGACTTAACTACAAATCCGCGGGGGTTAAATTTCGCCCGCGAACAAACTTTAGAGCGCTCAGGTTACTAACTTACGTCATGGTGACGTTAGCTTGGCCCAGGGAGTAAAATTCCAGGGGGATAAAATCCGGTGACCCATTATTTAGTATAGGTAGGTCTGTACCTCCACACAAATTTTTAATTTTGATAGGCCTAGGCTATCTTATTTATAGTTTTTTTTTTTTTTGTTTTTACCTCCTGAATCCAAATTACTTTATACTGTTATTTTCCAGTTAAGTTAATGAATTTTTCCTACAGTTACCTAACAATGTACATGTTCTCTCACTGATTTGAGAAAGCAAAGTGGCCAATTCGCTCATCAGTGAGACAATGTTAACATTGTCTCACTCTAATTACTTTGTCTCACTCCAGATTTTCAACGTGAAGGCACGAAATAGTGAGCGCGTAACATGCAGGCAACGCCGTATGCGCGCGAAATACGTTGGCAGCACTGGCTGTAAATCAGCTGGTCAGCTGTTGTACTGTTGTATTTGTCACTTCACATTAAATGTTATATTAAAAGTTCACTTCTGTGTAAAAATAGGTTATGTTTCTTCACCAATTTATTTGTTTTATGGTAACTGTAGGAAAAGTATAATGTGCAACTCGAGTTCAAAGTACAATTGCCTCACTCGAGAAACCATTCATCACTCGCCTACGGCTCGTGAGTAAGGATTTCTCTCGAGTGAGTCAATCGCTCACTTTTCTCACTATAGTGGAATAGAATACAGAATAGGACTGGCCTACTGAGGAGGTAGGGGATGCGACGTTGCCACTTCGTTCTTGGCTGGTGAGCTGACTTTCACCTAGAGCCGGGGAGCGGGCGCGGGCATCCCTCTGACTCTGTCTTCCCACTTGTAGGGTAGTTTAACACTACAAATTATTAATTTTTTGGCGGTATCGGTTAGTGTTGTCATGTTTATATCACATGAAGATACATTCATCCCTTACATGATTATGGATAGATTATTTGCACAATTAATGACTTAAACCGCTACTAGATTTAGTTTTTGAAAAATATTAAAAATATTAATTAACATACAATTAATAAATATAAAATGAAAATACATTTTACATAGGTCACCTTTACAAGTCTCTGGAAATATGTTGCCTATAGTCAAACGTTTGTCAACCCCAATTTTTAAACAAATCGCCGTAACAATAAGAGCAAATGAATACATATGGTCCAAAAACTTTTATAGCAGTTCTAAAAATTTTGTAAATTGTTGCCCTGCTTATAGTTTGATACATAAAACAAATTAACATGGAAATAAGGTAGGTAAAATCTTCCATATTAAACATTTACAGCAATAGTTTGGTTGTGTTTAGGAAACGAAGTTGGTCAATGTTTAGCAATTACCCCAAAGCTGCCTTTCTTTGAACACCTATTGTGACCCTCACTCCGTTAATCTTATTATTGCCACTCGACTGAACTTAAACTTACGGAGAACAGGTAGCTCAATAGTGACGAAGATATTTCTGTAATATTGTGATTTGACAAAAAAGTCCGTTAGTTTTATATTGAATTTAAGAAAATTGAACTAACGTTTACATACATTACGTTATGTGTTGTATTCATTAAAATAGTCATACGATATATTCACTCTTCTATAAAAAAAAAACTTCTAATGTAGGTACTCTAGAAATCCTCAAAAAACATACCAGGTAAAAAGGGAAATAGATAACATAACTGCCAATTTATTGCCAAAATGACATAAGTTTAACTATTTTTATTAGAAAATATTATTACATTGCACTGGAAATTGTTACATAAAAATATTTACAAAAGAAAATATTGACGTATGAAACTTATATAAAATTTTTAAGGGACAATGACATTTTTATATAGGCCTATCAACATATTTACCTTACGTAAAGGAACGTAAAGGAACACCACGTCCGACGTTACGATATCGCAAACGTTTCACGTGTACTCGTGGTCGTCCACGTCGCGTACTGTTGTCCGTATTCATTGGGCGAAACACAGTTCATTCATAGACGAATTTTTGACAAAACATGAGGGTATACTAGAAACGCACAAGTCGGCTATCGGGCAGAGACTGAGTGCGTGGCACAACTTGGCAACAGTGGACAGTTTTCTAAAAGCTGATTGGATGCCACATGCCCCGCCCCACCCGACTCGAACTGGTTCCGGTCCTATTCTGTATTCTATTCCACTATAGTTGCACAAATAACTATTACTGAAGATATCACTGCTTATTTAAATATACAACTTTTAAATAAACAAGGTAGCCTAACTTAGCCATTTACAAGAGGAATGAACTGAGAAATTGCATGTAACTTAAACTTAAGTTAGGTTAGTTCTTATTTCGGCATATCAAGGTGGTGAGTGGATCGAACTTTATGCGAATTCGGGACTGTATTAAGTGAAGTGTTTTGAAGTTAGGTTAGATTAGGAAGGTAAAGTTTAGGTTTATAATGAATTGAGATGTTGGTTCACATTAACTTACCTAAAGACAATTAAAACCCTGTAAAAAAACACTTCATAAGACTAGGACTAGGCCTATTTCAATAATGCTTGCAAAAGTGTCCTGCCTGGGCAGAAAGTGTCGTTAATAAAAATGGCAATAATTTATTGACTAGACAGTTACCTACCTTGATTACCTTGAACTTGAATTGAACGTAAAATATCTACAGAGGTAGTGGCTGGCCGTGGCCGCTGGTGTTTTCATAAGATAAGACTACTTCAATCAAAGCAAAGCGGTTGTTGTTTGTTTTGTTTCTGTTTATTATGTAACTTAATTCATTGGAAAAGAAGAGTAACAAAACCAAAACAATACAATCTCTGGGAACAGCTGATTATCCATGGGTGGGTCAGTGGCGGTGGGGCACACGGGAGGGACTAAGGCTAACATATCTTGTAGTGTCAGCGTTCGCTGCTAGAACCCAGGGCTAGAGAGCCCTGGCTAGAACCGCTGTTGAAAATATTTAATTTTTTATTTTATTTTTACTTATAAAATTAACTTTTTAATTATAAAATACTAGCAGAGTACCCGTCCTTCGTACGGGGTTGGCAAATAAGTATAAAATACTTATTGCAGTTATACCCGATCTTTGCGTTTGCGATGTGAGAAAACACGGTTTGAGAAAATTTGCTTCCTCAAATTTACAGTATGCGATAGTATTACACATCTACCATAGCCATAATGTTATACTACTTCACCTACACAATAGAGAAAGATAGAATATTAAAAATTCGCAAAATATCATAAATTGAAATTAAAAACATAAACATAACTGTAAACAATCCTACTTTGATAGGGTATTTACTCAGGGGAGGTACGGAAGAGGCTACGATGACAGCTGTGGGCTTCTTATTAGCTGAGGGAACGCTATTACCGTAACAATACGGATTGTGGACAACGGCTTCGGTGGTCTAGTGGTTAGCGTGCCGGGCTGGCGTGCAAAAGGTCCCGGGTTCGAATCTCGCTGGTTGCATTAACTTTTTGTCACAGATTTTTTCATTATCAGCAAGTTTGGTTGGTTTAGTTCGGTTATGACAGTTTAATTTTATTATTAAGTCATTATAAAATTTTAATTGAGCAATTTCTAGTTTTATTTAATAAACATAATTATTTTTTCTATTCCTAATCTTTTTTATATTATTTAATTATCAGCAAGTTTGGTTAGTTCGGTTAGGTTATGATAGTTTAATTTTATAATTAAAAAATTATAAAATTGAATTTGAGGCATTTATAATTTTATTTTATGAACAGAACTATTTTTGCGAATAGTAAACCTTCATTGACAAAGTGCTCTCTACTACAGCGCTGTTCGCGGAGGAATTTTGAACTAAATGCCTCATTCGTACCTCCCCTAAGTCAGACCCCTTTGATAGCTCTCATTGTGTATCACAGTGTTTTGTTGCTACTTTAGTTCAAATTAGCTGTTTTCATAAATAATGAAAAAAATAATAGTGCTGCACCCTGTTGGTAAATCTTAAAAATTTTAAATGCTTTTGCATATCATAGAACCAACTCTTTAGTTGAAAGAGCTGGCTAAATTCTTTAATTCCCTTTAAATATGAATACTCATAAGGTTAACATGGGGAACTGCAGAGCCACTGGGGCGAAGCCCAAAAGGATTTTTGAGATAAGAATGCCTATATGTTAATCGGGAATGTGAGCTATCATCATGCCAAATTTCAGCCCAATCCGACCAGTATTTTTCGTGTTTACTTGTCACAAACATACATACATCCATACATCTATACATCCAAACTTTCTCATTTATAATATTAGTAGGATTGTTTTTAAATTATAAAATAAGTTTTTATTTTTTTTTTTAAATAAAACTGTCATAACTAAGCCATTCCGGGTCAGTGGGGTCATATTGAGATATAGATTATAACTGGAGTCACTACGCTCTGGCTCTGGTTAAACATTAAAGATAAACGGGCCACTATTTTTGCCGGTTTGTATTCGGTGTTTCGTGATGTGAGGTTGGCCGTGTGATCGGTTGGTGGGATGCTGCCAAATTCCAATTCATTCTAAAGCTGGGTTTTTCTAGACGCGTAAGCGGAGAGAGGAATGCGGAGAGCGGAATTGAAATTAACATGGCATTCCGCTCCGCTTCTAGGAAAACAGTAACATTAAATTGCCTAAGACAAGTGGAGTCCGCTCTCCGCGTTCCTCTCTCCGCTCGCCGATTCCGCGCCTAGGAAAACCCGGCTTAACCTAACCATTGAACCATACTATTTATTTGAGTTTATCCGTTATTTCAAGGACTTATATCATAAACTTATTTAAGTTATTGCACGTTAAAACCTGTGCATTTAAAGTTGTTTTGAAACATTATAAATTGTTTTTGATAGTAAATAAAGTCTTGGGTGTAGCCCTATGGCATTTCATTAAAAGAACAACCATCGGTTGCTTGTTAAAATGGGTTGCTCTTGCTCATAAAATAAATAAATAAACTTGTATTGCAATAATAATGTTGACATATTTTTGTTTACTACCTATCAACAAAACAACAGGATGATTGCCATCTTGATCTTGCCTCTAATTTGACGAGTCCCACCCCAACCGATCACCCAGCCAACCTAACAACACGAAACTCTAAAACAAAACAAGCAAAAACAGTGGTACGTTTTTAAAACGCAGAGTGGTTAGAGCCTTATTATGCGCGGCCACTCGAGTCGCTTGGGGTAGCCACAGGTGTGGCTTGGGGTAGCGACAGGTGTGGCAAGGCCACGCGTCTGACCGAATTTTTTACAGACATACATGTAGTTTCTCAGAGTGAATAAGTAAAGAAGCTTAACTATTTATTTTACTTTTTCTTAAGCATCGTAAACGTTGTCGAAACAAAAGTATTGGGAGGGAATCCGTTATTGAAAGTAAGACCTTCGGGGGTATTTTTCAGTTTTTATATGATGATTTCAGAGATGACACACAAGATGTATTTTTGTTGTTTCTAGGAGACGAGATGTTCTTTTTATAACCTATTAGGAAGAATATAAGGCGACTTATCCGTATCGCATAAGAAAATTATTAATATTATTTCAGCTAAGGAGAGGCAAGCACTTGCCTTTAATTAAATATATTATAATGGTTTTGACTTGATTTAATCAAAATATTAATACAATATTAGCAGCAAAACTCGGCGTTGCCCGGATCAACATAGTATTCACAATAATGGTAATAATTGAGTAATAAGCTTACAGACAGTATCTTGAACTTAACTGATTCAAATGATGGTCAACATCTCAAATGAAAGCATTGTTTTAAGGGGACGTCCTATTTTATGACTAAGACATGTAGAATAACTAAAAATGGAGTTACGTATCATTGATTACAGATAAGTGTTAAAATAATTAATTATTATTGTTGATTCGTGATTCAGTAGCGTGCTTCACGTACGTCCGATCTTAATAATTAATACTGTTGCTCAAAATTAAAGCTCACATTTTACTGAATGTTCTTAGACAAAAACATAATATAGAATAATGTAATCAGAACTGGCAAAATACAATTATTAAAATTACAAAATTATTGATAATATTTCATTCATCTGTTTGAAAGCAAAAATATATTTCCGAATTTTGTTTCTGAGATAAGTAGTATGAATATTCCATTTCAAACGCTCGTCAAAGTTGCAATGACTTTTGAACCGTAATTGTTAGAGTAATGGGGGTTGCCTTAGTTTGTTTCGAATTATAAGGACCATAACACATTAATTTTAATCAAAACCGGGGTTTTTTTCTAAAACATTATTTTAGTAATTTTATGGGATTTTTATGGGAAAATAACATAAGTTATATAATAACTTTTAAGTCGTAATTTTTACAGTAATATGGGATTTGTACCATTTTGTTCAGAATTTAAAGCACTATAACATACTAAATCTTTATCAAAATCATTCGGGCCATTTTTGAGAAAATCTGATTTACCCTTATTTTATGGATTTTTACGGAAAAATCCCCATTAAACACAAAATTTAAAAAAATATGAAAAAACGTCTGGAGATAAGGTACCATAGATAAGTACCTATACACCAAATTTCATCAAAATCGGACTAAAGGTGTGGACTGTAGGTCTGTACACACCCCCCCCCCCCCACTCACACACACACACACATACGGGTCTTTACCAAATACTCGCAAACACCAAATTGTGGCACCTTTCAAACTGCGGCCACCAGTGGATGAAGGAAGGTACCAATACCTTGTGTACATCGATATGTCTAATGAATTTACTTTGAATTTAACATCAAACACTCTAGTTTTTAATAGTGGCACCATGCCGCAATTCGGTATATATTAACAGTGTGTGGACAGGATGCAACTAATGCGTTGTAGCGCTTGAGCAGTATGTTTGTTACACGGGAGCCCTCTGTGACGTCATATTGATGGTCCATAAATCCATGACATTAATTATGACACTTAATTATTAAATTGAGAAAAATATCAAATTAATTTTATAATTTTTAATTAAAAATTAAACTGTCATAACCTAACCTAACCAACCAAACTTGCTGATGATGAAAAAATCGTATGAAGGTTAGGTATGATTACTAATCGAAAAAAGGTTCTGTTCAAATAAAATTATAAATGCCTTCAATTCTAACAAAAAATGTGTATAGTTAAGAGTAATCGCATTCTAAGCAAAATCTTTGACAAAAAGATCGTGTTACTTGTAGAATCCGATCTGGTTACCTTTTGGACTTCAGCCGAGTACGAGTACGCGATCCACTAACTACACCACGAACACAGATAGATTCATTTCGTTTCGTATCGTTGCGGTAATGGTCTGTGCTCTCTAAGTGTTCCCTTAAGAGAAGAGAGTGACGTCATGCCATGACAGTAATTGACAGTCAATAGAATTGTGCGTCCCGTCAGCCTTTCATAAACTGGACCCCTGGGAGTCTGGTATTTACTCAAGGGAGAAATAGAAGAACCTTCGATGACGTCAGCTGTTAGATCTCTTCTCTCGAGGGAACACCATTACCACAAGCAAAGATACGGTAACGTTATGCAGCTAGCCATCGGCTTCGGTGGTGGTAGTGGAAGCGTTCCTTGCTGATGAATGAAGGTAGCCGGATCGATCCCTTCTGATAGCGTTAACTTTTTGTCAACGATTTAGCTTAGAATGAGATTAACTGTAGTCGGTACACCTTTTGCAAGAATTTGAGGCATTTATAATTTTATTTTATGAACAGAACTATTTTTTCAATTAGTAAACCTTCAGTCGATTTTTTAAAACGTTTTTATTAGGTCACTTTCTTGTCC